TATCAACATAAATAGAAACAGCCATTTACACATATCCCTATACATATGCATATATCCCTGTACACATACATACATATCCTTATATATACACATATATATCGGGCATCTCGTTATATTTATAAAAACCTATGATCCTGTATTCTCCCTTGTACTCCTATATTACTTAAAGTATCTCCTTTTAAATTTCTCCCTTTGTCACAGTACTCCATCTACTTTGTGTCCTTATACCTATTCCAGGGCTTCCACATGACCTCCCATTTACTTAGGTAATTAGTGCTAAGGACATAAAGATCACAGGCCAGATTAGCAGATCTCTGTTTTTTGGAATTTGAAGAGCATGGCAAACTGAGGGCAGCCTGGGGTCACTTAAACTGAATGGAAGGCTGCATTTGTTCTAAGCTGGGGACAAGACTGTTTCATACTTAATATTACTAGGCTCAAACCTCATTATCGTCACACCCTGCACAATGCCCATGTGTTGAGGAAACATTAATTTATGCTTTAACCTTTTGACAACTAGCAGCTCAATCTGTGCACAGTTGCTGGCTTTCATGAACAGTTCCAGTTCCCACTAAGGATTGGAAGCCAACAAAGAGGTTGTTCATGTGATCACTATGTCAGCTATGACATAAGAAGAAGCACTGCAGTATGAAGATGGGAGTGTGCCTCTCTTTAATACTGTAATTGTCAGACAAAAATACAGTACTAAAAATAAATACATTGATACTTTTTTCTGTACAAGCTCTGCTCATGGTATCTGTGCTTTATCTCAGCATTTCTCAACCCTTTTTAACTCATGGCACCCTTTAAAAGTATGCAAAATCTTGAAGCACCCCAGATTTTAGGGGGACCCCAAGCGAGAGCTCTCTGAAAAATTGGTTTCTCCCTTCACATCAAAATTGCCCCCTTCAAATCAAAATTCTCCCTTCACATTAGAGGCACCCTTTGCATCGGGAGCATCCTTTCATATCAAAAGCCCCTCTTTTATATCAGTCTCCCTTTTTCACATGAGAGTTCCCCCATTAGATCAAAGGTCCCCTTCATCAGTCTTCATTCCCCCCTTTACATCACAGTCCCAACACTACAAAATGTTGAAGCACCCCTGAAGAAGCCAGAAGGCACACCAGGGTGCCACAACACCCTGGTGAGAAAGGCTACTATATTCTATATAAGTAGTAAAAAAAATTAAAACTAGAAAGTGCAATAGGGGAAGGCATTGTGCCTGTCTTACATTCTCATTCTATATCTAGAACTTTCAAACTGTACTGACTAGTGATGCACCACTAATACCAGTATTGGTATCAGTGCCGATGCGGAGTATGTGGAGTACAAGTACTTGCCCAAATGCTCCGATACCCAGCCCGATACTTGAGCTTCTGGTATCAGGAAGCTGGGCAGCGAGTCATTACACGCTGCCCGGTTTCCTCATTGGCTGGGCAGCCGGCTCCATGCTCCCTCGTCATTGCCCGGCCAATCAGGAAGCCGGGCAGCATGTAATGACTCGCTGCCCGGATTCCTGGTTGGCCGGGAAGCTGGCCAATCAGGAAGCCGGGTGCGGTGTATTGAAGTGGTGCCCTGCTTTTTGTGATGAGGGACCCTGGAGCCGGCTTCCCGGCCAGTCAGGAAGCTGGGTCCACGATTTCTCGTCACCTAGTGACAAGAAGCATGGAGACGGCTTCCCTGCAGTCTCCATACCATTTAGGAAGCCAGGTGGGAAGTCATTGCACGAAAAAAAAAATATCGCACTCGATATAAAAACCGGTATCAGTGCATCCCTAGTGAGTCTTCTCAACATCTCCTTCACATACTTTAGTGAGTCTTCTCAACATCTCCTTCACATACTTCACCCTACAGAAATAATCAGTCCTAGTTGATGGGTACCATTATAGTAAATACCTCTCTTGCCCAGGTATTGAAGGAACAGGATTGTTACATATGTAGCCAGCATTAGATTTTGGTCTAATGAACCTTACAATGAGATTGTACAATCTTTAGATGATTGCTTTTAGATTGTCCAAATATGTAATTCAGTGGCGGAACTACCACCATAGCGACCGATGCGGGCGGGGGGGGAAAACTGACAGGAGGATAGCGGCTTCGCTCTCCTCCCCGCCTGCCGCTCGATCATCCATAAACTATCCCTCCTTCACCTCTCAGTGGTCAGAATGTTATCAGTGTATATATGCAGCATGTTCCATAACCTCTCCCTCCTTCACCTCTCAGTGGTCAGAATGTTATCAGTGTATATATGCAGCATGTTCCATAACCTCTCCCTCCTTCACCTCTCAGTGGTCAGAATGTTATCAGTGTATATATGCAGCATGTTCCATAACCTCTCCCTCCTTCACCTCTCAGTGGTCAGAATGTTATCAGTGTATATATGCAGCATGTTCCATAACCTCTCCCTCCTTCACCTCTCAGTGGTCAGAATGTTATCAGTGTATATATGCAGCATGTTCCATAACCTCTCCCTCCTTCACCTCTCAGTGGTCAGAATGTTATCAGTGTATATATGCAGCATGTTCCATAACCTCTCCCTCCTTCACCTCTCAGTGGTCAGAATGTTATCAGTGTATATATGCAGCATGTTCCATAACCTCTCCCTCCTTCACCTCTCAGTGGTCAGAATGTTATCAGTGTATATATGCAGCATGTTCCATAACCTCTCCCTCCTTCACCTCTCAGTGGTCAGAATGTTATCAGTGTATATATGCAGCATGTTCCATAACCTCTCCCTCCTTCACCTCTCAGTGGTCAGAATGTTATCAGTGTATATATGCAGCATGTTCCATAACCTCTCCCTCCTTCACCTCTCAGTGGTCAGAATGTTATCAGTGTATATATGCAGCATGTTCCATAACCTCTCCCTCCTTCACCTCTCAGTGGTCAGAATGTTATCAGTGTATATATGCAGCATGTTCCATAACCTCTCCCTCCTTCACCTCTCAGTGGTCAGAATGTTATCAGTGTATATATGCAGCATGTTCCATAACCTCTCCCTCCTTCACCTCTCAGTGGTCAGAATGTTATCAGTGTATATATGCAGCATGTTCCATAACCTCTCCCTCCTTCACCTCTCAGTGGTCAGAATGTTATCAGTGTATATATGCAGCATGTTCCATAACCTCTCCCTCCTTCACCTCTCAGTGGTCAGAATGTTATCAGTGTATATATGCAGCATGTTCCATAACCTCTCCCTCCTTCACCTCTCAGTGGTCAGAATGTTATCAGTGTATATATGCAGCATGTTCCATAACCTCTCCCTCCTTCACCTCTCAGTGGTCAGAATGTTATCAGTGTATATATGCAGCATGTTCCATAACCTCTCCCTCCTTCACCTCTCAGTGGTCAGAATGTTATCAGTGTATATATGCAGCATGTTCCATAACCTCTCCCTCCTTCACCTCTCAGTGGTCAGAATGTTATCAGTGTATATATGCAGCATGTTCCATAACCTCTCCCTCCTTCACCTCTCAGTGGTCAGAATGTTATCAGTGTATATATGCAGCATGTTCCATAACCTCTCCCTCCTTCACCTCTCAGTGGTCAGAATGTTATCAGTGTATATATGCAGCATGTTCCATAACCTCTCCCTCCTTCACCTCTCAGTGGTCAGAATGTTATCAGTGTATATATGCAGCATGTTCCATAACCTCTCCCTCCTTCACCTCTCAGTGGTCAGAATGTTATCAGTGTATATATGCAGCATGTTCCATAACCTCTCCCTCCTTCACCTCTCAGTGGTCAGAATGTTATCAGTGTATATATGCAGCATGTTCCATAACCTCTCCCTCCTTCACCTCTCAGTGGTCAGAATGTTATCAGTGTATATATGCAGCATGTTCCATAACCTCTCCCTCCTTCACCTCTCAGTGGTCAGAATGTTATCAGTGTATATATGCAGCATGTTCCATAAACTCTCCCTTCTCTGTTAAAAAGAAGAAAAAAAAAACACTCATTGAGGAGGCATAAGTAGTGCCTCCTAAGGGCCCATTCACACTGTAACGTTGCTTTAATTGCACGTTTCGATCTCACAGAAGTGCAGTATCGTGTGCTAGGTGCGTTGCAATGCATTTGAAGCCACGCCAACGTACCTCCCGGCAGCCATACGTTGCAGCACAACACACAGTCCTGCAATTCCGTGTATTGCAGTGTGAAAAAAGTAATATATGCTTCTTTCTCACTGCGCTGCAAGGTATTGCTGTAATGCATGACCATCAAAAAGTGTGTTGGTGTGTCATTCAAATGCACCGAACATACAGTATGGCGCACTAGTTGTGTTGCGTGTGCACTAACACTCGGACTGGGGCAGGGGCGGACTGGGCCGGGGGGCAGTGTGGCAATTGCCCCCCGAGCCTCTCTGCTGCCCCCACAAACGGCCCCTTGGCCCCCGCTGCCATCTGCACCCGGCCGCCCGCCGCATGCTGCACCATGGGCCTCTGGGTTGTACTTGCCCCCTGGGCTAAAAGTTGCCAGTCAGCCCCTGCTCCGGTGTGTGTTTGTGCAAATCACTTTTCAGGGGGTGTAAAGGTTGGCCACAGGCTTAAACAAGTCTTTATGTACAGGATCTCTACCCCAGATTTAAAAGGGGGACATTTTGAAAGTATTTGGTGTGACATGAGGCACATTTGTCAGCTCTGGATGTGACATGAGGCTCATTTGTCAGCTCTAGATGTGACATGGGGGTCATTTGTCAGCTCTAGATGTGACATGAGGGTCATTTGTCAGCTCTAGATGTGACATAAGGGTCATTTGTCAGCTCTAGATGTGACATGAGGGTCATTTGTCAGCTCTAGATGTGACATAAGGGTCATTTGTCAGCTCTAGATGTGACATGAAGGTCATTTGTCAGCTCTAGATGTGAAGCGGATTGTATAATCAGATTATTCGGTATATGGGGGTAGCAGGGCTGTGTTGTCTGCTGTCAGGCACACGTGTACGCACATTATATAGGAGGGTGCCGCCCACTGTAGTAGTAGCGCAGCTGTGAGTCGTACACCATGCCTTCCCCTATCCCTGTAGAACGTTTCCTGCCCCGGGACCTATCCCCCTCCATAGACCTTCGCCCTTGCAGCAGTCCCCTGGATCTGAGCCGTCACAAGCCCGGACAGTTGCGTCTGGCCCCGTCCAGGCTCCCTCCCCGCCTGGCCTGGTGCAGCATCGACTGGGAACAGGTGCGGATCCTGGAACCGCTAGGATCCGGGGGCTTCGGCTCCGTCTACCGGGCCACCTACCGCGGCCAAACGGTGGCGCTGAAGAAGGTGAAGCGCTGCAGCAAGAACCGCCTAGCATCCCGGCAGAGCTTCTGGGGCGAGCTGAACGCCGCCCGCCTTCGTCACCCACACGTGGTACGCATCCTGGCCGCCAGCGCCTGCTGTCCCGGGGATCCGGGCAGCCCCGGCACCATCATCATGGAGTACGCCGGCAGCGGGACCCTGCACCGGCGCATCTACGGCCGCGGCCCCCCGCTGGGTATGGCCTGCTGCCTGCGCTATGCCAGACACATAGTGGACGGGCTGTGCTTCCTGCACCGGGGCGGCGTGGTACACCTGGACCTGAAACCGGCCAACGTGCTGATGGCCCCGGGAGACCTGTGCAAGATCGGGGACTTCGGCAGCTCGCAGAGGCTGCAGGAGGGAGATGACGGGGGAGAAGCCTACAGCGTCCAGCTCCGACACCTGGGAGGCACCTACACCCATCGAGCACCCGAACTGCTCCGCGGAGAGCCCGTCACCGCCAGGGCGGACATCTACTCCTTCGCCGTCACCTTGTGGCAGATGGTGACCCGGGAGCTGCCCTACACCGGGGACCGGCAATGCATCCTCTATGCCGTGGTGGCCTATGACCTGCGGCCGGAGATCGGACCGGTGTTCCTCAGTACAGAGGAGGGCATGGCTGCCAGGGACATCATAGAGAGCTGCTGGTGTGCCCGGCCAGAGAACAGACCCAGTGCGGAGGAACTGCTGCAGAGGATTAGTCTGGTTGAGTCCTCTGTTGTCACCTCTGTCCATGAGCAGAGTCCCCAGCTTGATGGAACATCTGAGCTCCAGGGATGTCACCTCATAGCTGATGGAACATCTGAAGCCCAGTTTATGGATGATGAAGCATCTGAAGTCCAGTTTATGGATGATGGAATATCTAAGCTCCAGGAAGGTCAACTCATGGGCCATGGAACGTCTGAGCTCAAGAAATGTCACCGCATGTTTGATGGAACATCTGAGCTCCAATGCATGGGGTCCAACCTGGACTGTCCAAACTCAGCACATGGAACCCACCTGCAAGAGGTCTCTTCCTGCTCATGACACTTCAATAAAGTCATCATTGGAGATGGTGATGGGAACTAGAGGTTGAAGCTCCACCATTTGCTGCTGCTCTTGTCCCATGAGGCAGCCAAGAGGTGATGATTGCCTATGTATTGCTCAATATAGTGGATGGCCGCCCTCCAGTAAACAGTAGAATATCTTTATTAATCCGTAAAATAAGGAAAGAGACCTCTTTACATATTTTACTCTACGAAAATGCTTAAACGCAGATACTTCTGATTTAAATGCTTTTTGATAGAGTGGGTAAGATTGGACAGACCTGGAACAGTATTCTGTTGTTCCTATACACAGATGTCCTCTATGAGAGCAGCAGGGACCAGAAAAGGAGGATCTGCACTTTACACTGTGATGATGAACATGTCAGTATTATCCAATGTTTGTTCCCAGGCATCGGCTTGTCCACGGTGCCATGTTTTTGGCTGCTATTTATGTTGTGTTCTTATGTCACTTTAGGTGTCTTGTTGATGTGTTGTGTAGATTTTTGAGGTCACGAGTCTGGTGGAGTGGTTTATTGTGTGTCATAAAACCAAGCATAGCTTTTTAATCTCTGAATTATCCATATTTCATCTTGGTGTTTTAAACTTTCTGAAGCATAGCTGTGCAGATACAAGGGATGAATTAATAGAAATTAAACAATTTTCAAGTATAATACACATGTAAATGTTCAATGTGAGAATAGATGGAGCAGTGCTTTGTTCAAGGGCTGCAGGTCACAGCTGAAGGTTTCATTGTAATGCTCTGGGTGGATGTTGCAGCATATACCATATACACATTATTATATTTTTAATCTTTCATGAGTGTAACCTGTGAAAATATATTTTATGTGCACTGATTTGAACACATTTGTGAAAATACAAAGAATTTACCTTTTCTTTGTGTTTATTCTACAGTTTAACCTGTAAAATAAACTTGTTTTATGTGCAGGGTAAAGAAAACTTCTATAAGGATTGTGTTGCTGGCTGTGCCCCGTTGGGGCATTTTCCCTTAAAGTGACACTAAACTCAGGAGTTAAATATTTTTAAAAAGCATTCAAGTACCCTATTAACAAAAATGTATCTTATTTGTGTATCGCTCGGCTGTAGATCCTCAAATCATCTCTGAATTGGTGCTGACACTGTCCTTCCTTCTGGAAGGTGGCTACTTTCGTTCCCCATGGTCCCTGTGTGTATTGTAAAGTATCCACCGCTCCAAGCTCACTCCGGTGATGTACTATCATTTCAATACATCCATTTTAGTCCATAACAAAAGTGAGCTTGGATCGGTGACTACTTTACTACACACAGGGACCATGGGGAACAAAAGTAGCCACCCTCCAGAAGGAAGGACAGTGTCAGCACCAATTCAGAGATGATTTGAGGATCTACAGCTGAGTGATACACAAATAAGATACATTTTTGTTAATAGGTAAGGTACTTGAATGCTAAAAGATTTAAATCCTGAGTTTAGTGTCAGTTTAATGTCCTAGTGACAAAATTGTCACCTAGATAGGAAGTGAATAGAAAGCATTCTGGCAGGGACACGGCAAAGGGGTTTGGAGAAGAGGGGGTAGTCTTCTATTTTTTTTGTATCTCCATCAGAGTTTTCCTTTATTTCTTATCCTAGTAATGTCTTTTCTTCAGTACAGGAAGTAAGGGGAAATTTCACAGACAGTCATGGCCCAAAGTAAAAATAAAACTGG